TTTTCAAAGTGCACTACGAAGGGAACTCAATTGTAAACTTGAAGAATGCTAAAACTGAACTGTAAAAATAATTTGAAAGCAAATTACACCTAAGAGTGATGACTTTAATGCTTTTTTTTTTAATAAGTACAAGTTTAAATGTTAGAATGTTCTAAACGAATAGGGCATAGGGGGGATAACTGGGAATAGAAGCCACCGGGAACAATGTTTCTACCTACAGCTCTAGAGGTGTAGTTGCTAGTGTACATGTTTGCAACGCAGCTTGCAAATGTTCATTGGAACGATGAATTTGGGAAATGCCAAATCAACAAACTATGTTTGTAATGATGAAACTTGCGTCCTTAGTTGGCTAATGAGGGTTTTCAGAAATGCACCCCTGAGCAATTTTCAGCAGTCATAACTCTGTCCTTGTTTGAACATTCATTCATTTATTCATTTTCTTGTCGGCTTAGTCCCTTTATTAATCCGGGGTTGCCAGAGCGGAATGAACCGCCAACTTATCCAGCAAGTTTTTTTACGCAGCGGATGCCCTTCCAGCTGCAACCCATCTCTGGGAAACATCCACACACACATTCACACACACTCATACACTACGGACAATTTAGCCTACCCAATTCACCTGTACCACATGTCTTTGGACTGTGGGGGAAACCGGAGCACCCGGAGGAAACCCACGCGAAGGCAGGGACAACATGCAAACTCTACACAGAAACGCCAACTGAGCCAAGGTTCGAACCAGCGACCTTCTTGCTGTGAGGCGACAGCACTACCTACTGCGCCACTGCCTCGCCCTCCTTGTATGAACATTATTTTAAAATCGAGAAATCATTCCAAAATGCAAATTTGCCTCTAAGAAAAACTAATTTTAAAAAGTGACACAAAAAAATAAACATAAAAAAGACACAATATATATATATATATATATATATATATATATATATATATATATATATATATATATATATATATTAGATCAGTGGTAAGGATAATCAAAGTTTCTGCAAGAGACTATTTAGGGAAGAAGTAGTCTAATAAAAGTAGGCTTATTATTTACTGTAATAATAATCTCTAAAGGCAACACTGTATTGTGTCAATTGTATTGTATTGGTCACCCCATTGTACACTTTAGCTGTTATTATAAAATTAGTATTTAAAAATTTGTGGTCTTTAGGTGTATAATGGATCTCCAGTTTGCATGCAGTCCCAATCAGCTTGCAACACCCTTTTTTAAGGCAATGGGTTTCATGACACTTAAAAACTAACCCTATATGTTTACTTGAAAAATGTAAAAAAAAAAAAAAAAACATTACAAATAATTGGTTCAGTGGGTTCTTAGTTATTCTTTTTAAATAAATTAAAGTAATCGTGCATTAAGTCCTTAAGGTTAAATGTTGAATTAATAACAGGGGATTGCTAGACACAATTTATTTATTTATTTATTTATTTATTTATTTATTTATTTATTTATTTATTTATTTATTTATTTATTTATTTATTTACTTACTTACTTACTTACTTACTTACTTACTTACTTACTTACTTATTTATTTATTTATTTATGTATGTATGTATGTATGTATGTATGTATGTATGTATTTATTTATTTATTTATTTATTTATTTATTTATTTATTTATTTAAAACAAAGTGTTGAGGTATGGATAATTGTTAGTGAACATATAGCAAAGGTGTGACTGTTCACTTAAAGGCAGGACTATAGCAAGTCAGGCATTCCAACTTGTAATTTAATTTATATGCTTTCCCCCTGTCTTCCTCTAACCCTACGCTCTGTTCTTCTCACCAGCAAATGATAAACTGTGGCAGATGCTTGTTTGAGTCTTGTTTGAGTCTCATGTTGCCCTATTATCTCTGCATAAAATAAATGCTAAATTATATTTGCCATTTTGTTTATGGTGACATTGGACATCAATCAAGCCCCCGGCGAGTGTCTCTCCTTTCTTTTCACACCTCTCTTTAGCACACGAGTTAGAGCGAGGAGACAACATAAAAAATTCATTATTCTTAGTGGTGGAATGTGTTCAAGAGCGATATGAATCCCGAGGATGGAGAGAGGGGAACGTGGGGGGAGGCAAAGCATGTAATGATGAAGAATAAGAAATGTAATATGGACCAAGTACCTGCCCCATTCAATTTGTCCCACAACAAAGCTACAGTGGTTTAACATGATGTGCCAGTGCAAAAGAGGCAAAAAAGAAAAGTGGAGATGGGTGAGGAAAAATAGCATTCAAACCAAGCACAAGCTGTATTTTAAAAAAAGAAAAGAGGATACATTAAGCTAAGAAGTAAACAGTATTATAAAAATAGTTTGAGGAATAAAATGATTACCCTCCAATTATCAGATATGTAATATTGATGTCAGAATTATTAGACCCCCCGTTTAAGACACTTCTATACAGATAATTAACTAAGTTAATTAGGTCAACTATAGGCAGGTTAGGGTAATTAGGCAAGTTATTGTATAACGTTGTATAAGTGCTGCATTTATACCATAGTAATATTGTGATCTCACAATTGCAACAGAAAATATCGGGAAATCTCTGTATGGAGAGGATGTTGGTGACCAAGCAACGGTTTCTGCTGTTCTGACGTCAGCTGCAGATGGGGGGAATGGCAGAAGAAAGTAGTTCCTCTTAAAAAAGTTTTTTTTTATACACATGATTATGACGTCGAACTGTTGTACATATATATTTATATATAGTTGAAACCAGAATTATTAGCCCCCCTGAATTATCAGCGCACCAGTTGTTTTTTTTCACCAATTTCTGTTTAATGGAGGGAAGATTGTTTTAGCACATTTCTATTCTATTTTTCTGTTTTAAAAACTTATTTCTAATAACGGATTTATTTTATCTTTGACATGATGACAGTAAATAATATTTTACTTGATATTTTTCAAGACACTTCTATACAGCTTAAAGTAACATTTAAATGCTTAACTAGGTTAATAAGGTGAACTAGGCAGGTTAGAGTAATTAGGCAAGTTATTGTATAATGATGGTTTGTTCTGTAGATTATCAAAAAAAAAAAAAAAATGATTAAAGGGGCTAATAATTTTGTCCCAAAAATGTTTTTTTAAAAATTAATAACTGCTTTTATTCTAGCCGAAGTAAAACAAATAAGACTTTCTCCAGAAAATATATATTATTAATATATATTATTAATATAAATATTATTAGACATACTGTGAAAATTCCTTGCTCTGTTAAAAATCATTTGGGAAATATAAAAAAAATTGAAATAAAATCAAAAGGGGGCTATTAATTCTGACTTCAACTATATATATATATATATATATATATATATATATATATATATATATATATATATATATATATATATATATATATATATTCTTTTAAAAATTTGTGTTTCTTATATCTTTTGTGTTTCTACATCTTTTATACTTTACCTGGATACCAGACAAGCCTTAAGATGTAATTAATTTAGTTTGTTAATAAAAGGAATTTGAGGCATGTCTGTTATGAGATAATTTAAAAAAGAATCTTTTTAGCTGCGTCCCAGATGCACTATGCACTTACACACTCAACAGCATAGTGTATGAATGTAGCGTCATCCCAAAAACGTTTTCATTTTAACTAAGCGGAAAACCATTTTCTATATGACATTTGATGGTTGCCAAATTAGCAAATGACCAAACTACCAAATAATTCCTTCCGTAAGTAAAACCTCATTCACCATTGGGAGACGATAAAATTTCTCGTAAGATAATTTTGCTTTTACAATTCAAAATAAAAAATAAATCAAAATCAGTGCCCTAAAGGTCTGCCACTTCCGCTACAAGGGCAAACAAGCTGCTGTTGACTGTGTGAAGCGTCCAACATTTCACACTTCTTTTTAACAGTTTAATGAGTGCATCATCTGGGTACTTAAAGTGCACTTATTTATTATTTTATTTTATTTTTTTTAGTGTGAATGCACTACTTACACTATTTATACTACAAAATGGCATAGTGCATAAGAATAAATAAGAATAGTGCATAAGTATGCAATTTGGGACACCTTTAGTGTCATTAATGCTGAAATCATTTTGAAGAAGGTAACATCTTCATACAAGTTTTCATATTGGTGTACATTAGCAATATAGAGTTTCCTCACTTGAAGTTGAGGTGGGGGATTGTTGTACTACATGTGACAGCTTGCAGAACAACTGTGTGTGAGAAAAGTTTGTTACGCATTTTCTGTCAAGGCCTGAGCTTTCATATGCTGCTAATCTAGTGTATCTGCCTCTGACACACTCATTAGCATGACTCTTGACAGTGTGTTCACCAAGCCTTTGATCTTTGAAACAACCAGATATTGTTGCAGCCAGAGAGGTGCAGATCACCCCGCATGGAAACAACATCTAATACATTTGTGTACTGCAATATTGCAAGACCAGACATAGATGTCTCTATTTGTTATACATTTGCTTAACAAATCATATTATGCTGATTATAAATAACATACAGTAAATCCTACATTAAAATTAAATTGAAAAAATGAAGAAATCTGAATAAAAATATGATAAAATAATTAATGCATATAATAGTAAAAACAACAAATGAATAAACAGATAGAACAGCAATGTACACACACACACACACACACACACACACACACACACACACACACACACACACACACACACACACACACACACACACATATATATATATATATATATATATATATATATATATATATATATATATATATATATATATATATATATATATATATATATATATATATATATATTATTAGACACCCCCCCCCAAAAAAAAAAGTAATAATAATAATTAGAGGATATACCGCAATAAAACTGGAACCTTCATTTAAACACAAACATATAAACTGCAATATAATAAAACAATATGATATGATATTTTAGTGTCATCTTTCAGGTCCTAGTAGAATTTATGGTGGCATTATTAGTCATAAATATGGTAACAGATATAAAAAAAGTGTGAATTTACTTACATGTGTAGTGATGGTACTGGCGAGGGTTCGTAAATGTATCGGCCTTGTGTGTGTCTATCATCAATTGGTACTGGATGATGAAAAGCAGGAAAGAACTGTGGTGCAGCTGTTAAAAAAAAGGTACCAATAGCATCATCAAATAGGTTCATCTGTCACCAGCAGTTCAACTGTAATTTTTATAAAGCTGTTCAGAAACAAACATACAAATAAACAAAAATAATACTAATTATACTAATATTAATACTACTAATACTACTATAACTAGTACTATCCAAAGACCAAATATTATGGAATTGAAACAACAGGAGGGTAAATAATAAGGGTGACTTTTAAATTTTTACAACCTGACAGAAAGACATATATTATGGTGATTTAAAAATCAGCATAAGTCTTTTAAATCACATCAACATTTAAGACACTTAAATTCAGCATTATTTTGTATGAAATGCTAAACATCTGCTCTGATGCACTGATTAAAAAAATGCTGAATAGTATGAGCGTAACGCAGTGGTCACCTCACAGCAAGAAGGTCGCTGGTTCGAGCCTCGGCTGGGTCAGCTGGCGTTTCAGTGAGTTTGCACGTTCTCCCTGCGTTCGCGTGGGTTTATTCTAGGTGCTCCGGTTTCCCCCACAGTCCAAAGACATGCAGTACAGGTGAATTGGGTAGTAAGAGACTTTGATGTCACCTGTTCATACATATTTATTGTAATGATTCCCCGGTTTTGTGTCCTTTTACATTAAAGGTGCAATATACTGCGTTGGTTGGTTGCTTTGTTCATTCATTCATTCATTCATTCATTTTCTTTTCAGCTTAGTCCCTTTATTCATCAGGGGTCGCCACAGCGGAATGAACCGCCAACATATCCAGCATATGTTTTATGCAGCGGACGCCCTTCCAGCGGCAACCCAGCACTGGGAAACACCCATAAACTCTTGCATTTACACCCACACATAGACTAGGGCCAATTTAACTTACCCAATTCATCTGTACCACATGTCTTTGGACTATGGCAGAAACTGGAGCACCCAGAGGGAACCCATGCGAATACAGGGAGAATGTGCAAACTCCACACAGAAATGCCAACTGGTCCAGCCGGGGCTCGAACCAGCGACCTTCTTGCTGTGAGGCGACATCGCTACCTATATCTACATAATATGTGCCTTAGTTAAGTAAATGAATCTCCAGAAATTGTTTTATATGCTTGTTTATTACTCTATAAAATACCCCTAAAATAAGAAGCTCCTAATTGACCATATTTAGAATGGTCCTAAATATTAATGAGCTCTGCTCTAACATGCAGCTTAAGGTTAATTTATACTTCTCTGTTGAGCAATCATCATGACCCATGGCACCTGCCTTGCCTGTAGTCATGCATTTATATTTCTGCATACTGTTTGTGAATAGTATGCTGTTATCTTAATTTTCCTTTTCTTCATGCACAGAAAATATGTGAATGTCTGTTTGTTGAGCTGAACAGTTCAGGTTCTGCAGTCAGAGCTAAAACTGGACAACATTGTGTCCACCTTAAAAAAGAAATTATACCACCTAACTGATTCACCTACAGTCTCAACTAGGTTGAAAAAGTTACTCATTAGATTTGAACTTTTAAAAAGCATACTACGAATTTAAGTCGACCATTCCCAGCACCCCTTCTTTTGAACTACTGTTTTTTTTGTGGCCATGCATTTTGCAGAGGGGATTTTTGCTGTCATTATTTCATGCCACATCCATTAAGACATGATTATAAAAGGTTTTTAATGAAAGAGCTGATTAAAGGAAAACCTTGACGAGACTCATTAGTTTCCGATGAAACACAAACACTCAATGAACAGAAAGAGTGTGAATATTATTACAATTACAGGTTATTATTTTAGGAAGATGATACAGCCTGAAGCATGAACTAAAAGCACTCCCATAACTGTTTTATGAAGATTTACTTTTTTTTCTTTTAATCCACCATCCTCACTCTTGAAGTTTCATTACACATACTCTTTGGGGGATTGGCATAATGTTTTGATAACACCCTAAACAGGAGTTTATTGTATTGTGATCTACAGATTAGACGGAAAGAACAGAACCTGCTTATTTTCTTTTCTTTCCTTTCTTAAAAACTCAGAATCAAAAAGTAAAGATTCCTTAGACACACAAACACACACACACACACACACACACACACACACACACACACACACACACACACACACACACACACACACACACACACACTTAAGACTCACTTACATGTAAATAGAAGACTAGCTATGATAATTATTCTTTAAAAAAAATTGTCATAACAAATGCCTTAGATTGACAGTGTTAGAAAAAGGAAATATACAAGCTGTGCAAATGTTCTGAGATTAAACAAAAAATTTAGTTTGAGAACTACAGTTGCCTTAACCAGACCAAAGCACGCTTGTCCCCCCTCACCGTCTCCCGTCTCCCCCGACGGCCCGCACTCACATTACAATCAAGCCTGGGCACGCTTACGTCATCAATGATGCGCTGGTGGTCAGAAGTGCTCTCGCTCAGCACAGTGGGGATTTCTTCAGTTATATTGTTTGGGATTGCAGTGACACGCAGTCAGATATTTCGCCGAACAGATGAACCACTTTTGACGCTCAAAAACAATCATAAAGCCCTTGTGCTAAAGAAACTAGGTTTGCTGAAGGTGCGCAGCTGTCACACAGTGAGGGGTTTGCATCTTTAATAAACTACGGCAGTTTGCGTTCACTGAACAGTAAGAATGATTAATAAATCCATAGAAAACAGTCCCTTAAAAGTCACATATCGCTTTCAGTTTCGGGCTTTGGCGAGTTTTGCACTCACAAGTGAATTGTGCCTGAGCCCGATTTAGTGCACTCACACTTCTCAAACGATCAAGGAAACGGGCCTGGGCACGGTTCGAATAGCATAGTGTGAGTAGGCCCTAAGGGTGTACTCATACTAGGCGTGGTTGCCTCCCTTCTCCCCCTCAGCCAGCGTTCACTGTATTTTTACTTACCAAGCATGCTCACATCATTGATTATGTGACTGTTTAGTAGGGAAAAGAAGTGCTTTCGCTCTGTATAATGGAGATTGCTTTAGTTATATTGTTTGTATTATTTTAAGTCATTTGGGATGCAATGATACACAGTCAAATATTTTGCCTCAGAACGCCTTCCTTTTTAGACCAGAACGCCTCTGGGCCCACAAACGAGCGCTAATGCATTTGCTATTTAAACAGCATAGCGCAACGTCTCAAAGCGACTCTTGCGCCAAGCTTAAACTACCAAAAGACTACTGCGTCACGCCTTGCGCCACACTGCGCCGGGTGTATGATAGGGCCCTAAAAGTTCTAAATCATCTATTATGTTTTATTGCTCCAATACATACATTATTTACAATAAAATAATACAGGTCATATATCTCACATTGTTCAGCAGCATTAATATACTCTAGAATACTGCAGAATGCTTTATAATAACATATAAATGATAGTATATGTAATATGTATTTAATATGTAAAAATAACATAATAATAGTATTGAATTTTTAGAGTAATTTTATTCAACAAACAATTTGTACTTTTTAATGTGCGTTTTTAAAAGATTAATACAATAGTTACTTCTGGTAATTAGTTATTTTTATAATGATACAATTTAGTTTCAGTTACTACTTGTAAGAATTAACTAGTAGCTATAGCCAATTGCTTTAAGTAATGCTCCCAAAACTGGTAGTAGAAGTAGAAGTAGTAGATGTAGCAGTATTGAGCAGTACAATTTTAGTACTACTGAATTACAGAGTTAAAAAATGGTAAGAGCTTTATATAAAAAAAGGAAAGATGCTGATTTTCTGAATCAGTAATGTGGAGGAAATTATCCCTCTATGCTGTTCTATTTTATGAGTGTGCGCCTTGCACATTGCCAGTTTTTATTATGCCACTTCACACGCTTATGATCTCACTGCTCAAACATGCTCGCCTCCACAAAGCTGATGACTGAATGACCAACATGTGTTAAACCCTGTGAGTTTGAATGAGTTGTGTGTCAATGGAAAAGCAAGTGCACATTTCACTGTATATTTGTAAGAACCTGAAAAACTATATATCACGGGCAAAAAAACATACATGCATTCTTGTGAATGGTTGTAAGCAGTTGATAAGCTCATGATAAGAAGCATACCTTGAGGACACTGAATATTGTGAGCAGCATACATGTAAAGCATACAAGCGTACAAAGCGTGCAAAGGCTGTAGGATCCAGCTGTGTCTGCATGTAAATACACATGAGTGCTGTTGAGCGATGCTCTGTGGGGGTTACTGTTGCCTTTTGTCCTTTGTTTAATTATAGTTCCAGATTGGTATGATGGTAATGGGCTAATTATAGTTGTATAAATTATCAGACCGAGAAAAATTTAGCTGGAATAAAGGTGGCGGGGTCCAGCCATGGGAAGCCAGCAGAGATACACAGAGACTGAGGAAAGAATAGGAAAATCAGACAAAAAACCCTTTCTTTTAAAATGGGTGTTGTTAGTAACAGAGAAAGAAAGATATTTTATTTGATAACAACAATCGTCTGTTGTGAGCTTGATATGTTTATGTATTGCAGTACCTCAATCTTTATTAACAATATTATTTTATAACAATGTGAAAATATTGTACTCTGTAAAAGACTTAATAAAAGATTAAATACATGGTAAACTTGTGTCTTTGACAAATATAGTCAATCACAAAACCTTACCCACTCTGTTGATTGCTGACATCAAATGGATTGTTAAGTAATATATTGTCAGATTAAAAATAATCTCCAGTACCTTTTTTGAACAAGAGAAAGAAATAAAAAAAAAAATATGACAATGGTGATGACAATATGCCCAGGGCTTGACATTAACTTTTTTCATCACCAGCCCCTGTGGCTAGGAGTTCTTTAATATTACTAGAGACTCAGCATTTGCACTAGCCACAATTTTGTTGTGTTTGGGAAGTATATTTTATATGCATAAATTTGACTTTGGCATCTTAAAATTACTTGATTTAAATTATGTATTATGTCAACATGCCTTGCTTGCATTGCAATTTGTTTTATTTCACTTGACTTTTCAGGCTCAACACCAATTTACAAATTTTCT